CCTCCTGCATGCCCCCCACTGGGGACCAAGCCCACAACCCAGGCACTTGCCCTTGGCCGGAATCGAACCTGGGACCCTTCAGTCCGCAGGCTGATGCTCTATCCACTGAGCCAAACCAACTAGGGCTTTCATCTATTTTTATACATTGCAATCAAAGGAGAGGATGTAGGTGGGTTACCTGAAATCCATTGGTGATAGATTAGAGAGGTGGGAGAAAGCAAAGCGGGGAAACCCCTGGGATTGGATAAAAAGTAAAATGATAGACACATACTTAGGTGGGTGCAGGAACAGTTAACATGAAAACAATGAAGGAATTTGTGGTATCTGACCTGGTGCCCAGGCACATTAGGTTGTGCCCCAAGGGGTCCAGAAAAAAGGAAGTTACAAGTTAACCAGACATTTTAAAGATATGTTACTACAAATGCAAAAAAAACAGATAGGCTTAGTTAAGGTAAAGGTTGACCTTGTCAGGGAAGGTACCAGCCTAGGATGTAACTACCCACCATAACTGCTTTTAGTTAAGTTTAATTTCAGACCATCCTTTGTGGTTACTTTAGGTCTCTGAGTTTGCAAGACCGCCATGCAGGCCTTCCCTGAGCTTGTCAGGTTAGCATGTGGCCCCTTTTGTGCCAGGCCTCTCAGTCAGAAATTCCAGTTCCTCTGAGCGCCATCTACTTCCCACTTTTTCTTCCTTTCTTCCTTTCCTTTCTCTCCCTTCACCCATCCTTTGTGAGTTAGTAGGGGAGGTCTGATTGTCTCTTTTCAGAACAGCTTTTTAATTTTTAAAAGATTACATAGGCAAGACGTGAGTAAGTACTTATATAAAACTAGAGGCCCAGTGCACCAATGCGTGCACTGGATAGGGGAGAGCACGGGAGGTTGGCTGGCAGGCCCCGATCTAGTTGTGTAGATGTGCTGAGGTAGCAGCAAGCAAAGATCACAGACAGAGTGCCCCAAAATGGCATGAACACCAGCTATGCTCTGAGGTGGAAATACAGCTCTACTTCGCTGCCCGCGCTTGGGCTGCCTCACCCCAGGGAGGAGTTGCTGACAGACAGATAGGTTGTCTCTCCTACCTCAGCCGCACATTTTTGGGGGGCTCCACCCCCAAGCATGATAGGTAGCTGACTTTGGCCAATGGTAGGAGTGCTAGCCAATCAGCGGTTGCGAGCCTGGAAAGGTGTGGGGCCGAGCTAGAAGTGGCTGACGGGGGCAGAAGAGCAAGCGGCACACAGTGCAGTGGCAGAGGTAAGATGGTGGTGGTGCTTACTTTAAGTCTTTGCAGTTAGACTTCTGCCCCCTCTGAGCTGCTACTCTGTCTCAATCAGCATTGGGGTCGCTCTCCTACAGGCTTTCCGGACTCAGGTTCTCCAGTGCCTGGAGCCTTAGCCAGGGGGAGGGACTGCAGGAGGTTGGCCAGCTACCGGCCGTGAGGGAGGTTGGCTGTGGGAGCACACTGACCACCAGGGGGCAGCTCCTGCATTGAGCGTCTGCCCCCTGGTGGTCAGTGCATGTCATAGCGACTGGTCGTTCTGGTTGTTTAGTTGGAATGGTCGCTTAGGCTTTTATATATATAGATTTTGAACAGTACAACCTAGGTTCTCCTTCACTTCCCTCCCATTCCACTGTACTCCTCACCACCTTCCCCTTCACCCCATTTCCATCTCACTTACCTTGTAGTCAGGTTACTGGTTTATTTATATAATCTACTCCCTCGAGTTAATTTTTAATATCTTTCTAAAAAGTTACGTAATATTTCTTGATTTTCAAGTTTATTCTTATAAAATGCATAATGAGAATACTTGTTTCATAAAGTTAGTGTGAGGATTAAATGAGTTAATGTATGTCAAGTATGTAGAAGGTATTAGATTTCTTATTTCATATTATAAAAACAGTAGTTTAAGAAAAAGCTAATAAACGTAGAACTAAGGGGATTTAAAATATGGAGTAAGCCAGATATATTTTGAGAAGAGGGTTTTTGAGTATAGTAAGGTTCTCCATTTTATGACTAGGATCTAAATTTCTTTTCTCTGGCATCTAAAAATCACTAGAGGGCAGTGATCATGTTTGGGAGATGCAATTTTATATGTCAGTATACTTATAAAGAGCTATTAAGAGTATACTATGTGATATTATAGTTGCTTTAACTCCCTAATTATGTTTCCCTTTTGAGTATAGTATTTTTTATTCCATTCATTCATTTATTAAACATTTATTGCTTTGCTTAGTGATGTGCTGGAAATAGAGATTATAGTGATTGATGTAAGATAAGTAAAAAAGATCACCTGATTTAGTAAACCTTATAAGTGGAGGAATCGTGTCTGTCTAATCAGTGTGTGGCACATACCAAGTAATTAATAAATAGTTTTGAACACTGTTAGTCAAGAACTGTGAAATTGCTATGGTGTGTGTTCTGAGTACACTTGAAGTACAGAGGTGAGACCCTCGGTCAGACTGATGAATAGGGATCAGGGATGGCTTAGAAAGATTACTCATAGAGCAAATCTTGGAAGAATGAATTACAGTTAACCTGGTGAAAAACAAAGGGAAGAGCACAAAGGATGTGCAGAGGAAGGAAGTCTTAGAGCAGCGGTTCTCAACCTGTGGGTCGCGACCCCTTTGGCGGTCGAACGACCCTTTCACAGGGGTCGCCTAAGACCATCCTGCATATCAGATATTTACATTACGATTCATAACAGTAGCAACATTACAGTTATGAAGTAGCAACGAAAATAATTTTATGGTTGGGTCACAACATGAGGAACTGTATTTAAAGGGCCAGAAGGTTGAGAACCACTGTCTTAGAGGGAATGCCTGTAGAGATGCCACAGTGATTTCTGTACAGTCAGGTCATTGTAAGGGTGTGGAGGAATGGGCGGATATACTAGTATTAGCCCAGCAAAGGCCAGATCATAACAGCTCTTTTATGTCTTGCTAATTCCACCCTGTGAACTGTGAGAATATTTATAAATTTTTAAGCGGGGAGCATGACATGATCATTTGGTTTTATAAGTTAGCATTTTATTAAAAGTGACCATTTACTAGTCTGTACTAATACATTTCAGAAAGTTATATCAACCATATTTTCTGTCAATAAATAAACTTAAGTTAAAATGAATAGCAAACAGTATATACAAACCCCACATTTGAAAATTTAAAAGTGTACCATCTATAAATCCCATTGATCAAAAATAAAATAATTCAAATTAGAAAATATCTAGAGGTAAATAATAAAGACAATTAGGATATATTAAAACTTGTGTGACATAGGGAAGCCCTGTGTACTCATATTTAAAAATAGAAATTAAGCCCGGCTGCCATGGCTCAGTGGTTGAGTGTTGACCTATGATCCAGGAGGTTATGGTTCGATTCCCGCTCAGGGCACATGCCTGGGTTGCAGGCTCGATCCCCAGTGTAGGGCCTGCAGGAGGCAGCTGATCAATGATTATCTCTCATCATTGATGTTTCCTTCCCCTCTCCCCCTCCCCCTCTGTTAAAATATATTTATAAATACATAAATAAATAGATACTAAATATTTACCAGCTAAGTATCTAAATTAGGAAAAGAACAACAGGATAAATTCAAGTGAAATGAAATAGATGATAAAGATAAAAGCTAACACTTGTAGAGCACTTGCTATGTACTAAATACTGTTCCATGTACTTTACAAGGTTTTTCTCATTTAATGTTTACAACAACCCTGTAATGTAGGTACTATTGTTATTCCCATTTTACAGATGAGAAAACTAAGGCACAGAGAAACTTATTCAAACTTCTAACTAATAAGTGATAGAATTGGGGCTTGAAATTAATGGGGAAATTTTTCTTAAAGATTCAGTGGACAGGATTAACAAAGCCAAAACTTGGTTTCTTGAAAAGACTGGTAAAATAAACCATTTGAATGATGGATCAAGAAAAATGCAGAAAGCACAAATAGTATTGGAAATGTAAAAGGGGACATAACCTTAGATATAGAAGAGAATCTTTTAAAATAAGACAATACCTGGAATAACTATGCCAATAAATTTTACAATTCAAACAACAATTTTCAACCCAAGGCTTTGGGTCAAGATGGCAGCATAGGTAAATGCAATACTCACATCCTCACAACCAAATCAAAAATACAACTAAACTATAGAACAACCATCTTTCAGAACTGCCTGAAATATAGCTGAACAGAAGTCCTACAACTAAGCATATAAAAAACAAGCCATATCAAGACTGGTAGGAGAGGTGGATACAGGGAACAGGCTGGTCCCACACCCAAGTGTGGTGGTTAAAAACTGGGAGGTACATCTCGGCTGCAGAGGTCTCCCTGAGGAGCAAGGTGTCTCAGACTCACATCAGGCCCCTCAACCCAGGGTTCCAGTTCTAGGTAGAGAACTCCCCATAACTTCTGGCCGTAAAAAACAGTGGGGATTGCGGCTGAGTGACACAGAGGCTGCTGGAGTCCCAGGTGCTTCTCTTAAAGGGCCATGCACAGATGTACTCAGACTCACTCGCTCTGAGCTATCGCACAGATGCAGCAGTTTACAAGGTTTCAGGTACATATAGGGAGAAACTGAATTGTCTGGCATCAGAGCAAGAGGTGGCAGGGCAGCTTTCTCCCAGACAGAAGTGCTGGTAGAGGCCATTGTTCCTTTGCTGAGTTATTCCCCCACAGAGCCAGCAGGCAGGCACCATATCTGAGTCTCTATCAGCCTGGCTCACACTATTAGCCCTGCCCTGGTGATTCCCTGAGACCCCAATCCCACCAACATGTGGGCCACCCAAGCTGTTTCCAGTGGCTTTTCCATGAAAATGGCCTGTCTTGGGTGCAGGCTTCATACTTTCCTAAAATCTCTCAAACAAGCATCATCTGGCCAAGGCGTGCCCCAAACCTCTCACTAAGTGACTCCAGGCCAGGCTCTAGTGTCAGCCAGCCTTGGTTCACAGCTTGGCTTCTCCTGGGCCTCTACAAGTAGCAGCCATCTGCAGATCACTTTGTAACTCATTCCAGGTAGCCCCAGGCAGAACACAGGCCACGGCTGACCTTGATCTGTATGTCCTGGGAGTCTCCAGAGCCAGTGCACTTGGTGGATATCTTCAGACCACATCAGAGCACCACCCAACCACCTCCATAAGCAACATACTTAAGGAGAGGACTCAGTGGACACCAGAGCCCCACTGAAGTAAGTCTTGCTTTGTGGCATGGGCCCCTGTACAGCTGATCCTCAGTGGTCGCAGCCAGTCCTCCCAGCCAATCAGCCAGGGGATAAATTTCTCCCCTTGCCATGCCAACAGCAGTCAAGGCTCAACTACAACAGGAGGGTGTACACAGCTCACATGGGTATGGTGAGTACACCTGGAGTGCCCAGCTTGGGTAAACGGTGAGGCTGTGCCACTAGACACTACAGGATAGCTACTACATTAGACCACTCTACCAAGCCTGGGAGACATAGCAGCTCTACCTAATACATAGAAACAAACACAGGAGGCTGCCAAAATGAGGAGATAAGGAAACATGGCCCAAATGAAAGAACAGAAGAAATCTCCAGAAGTGAACTAAACAAAATGGAGACAAGCAGTCTACTAGGTGCAGAGTTCAAAACACTGGTTATAAGGGTACTCAGTGAACTTAGGGGAAAAGTAGATGAAGTTAGAATTTTAAAATCATAAAAAAGGACATGGAAACCATCAAAAATAACCATTCAGAAATGAAGGATATACTAACTGAAATGAGGAATAATTTACAGGGAATCAACAGTAGAGCAGATGAAGCCGAGAATCAAAACATTGTAATGGAATATAAGGAAGCAAAAAAAAATCACCTAGTCAAAACAGCAAAAAGAAAAGGAATCCAAAAAATGAGGATAGTGTAAAGAGCCTCTGGGACAACTTCAAGTGTACCAACATTTGCATTGAGGTTGCTGGAAGGAGATGAGAGAGCAAAGAATTGAAAACATGTGAAAAAATAATGATGGAAAATTGACCCATCCTGGTGAAGAAAATAGGCATACAAGGTGAACCCAAAGAGGCCCATACCATAATTAAAATGCAAAAGGTTAAAGACAAAGAGAGCAACTTAAAAGCAGCAAGAGATAAGCAGTTAGTTACCTGCAAGGGATGGGACTGTCAGCTGATTTCTCAACAGAAACTTTGCAGACCAGAAGGGATTGGCAAGAGTGATGAAAAACAAGGACCTGTAACCAAGATTACGCAGCAAAGCTATCATTTAGAATTGAAGGTCAGATAAAGAGCTTCCCAGACAAAACAAACAAACAAACAAACAACAACAAAAATTAAAGGAGTTGATCGCCACCAAACCAGTTATTACATGAAATGTTAAAGGGTCTTCTTTAAAAAGAAGAAGAAAAAAGATAAAAAATATGAACAATAAAATGGCAATAAATACATATCAACAATTGAATCTAAAAAACAATAAATGAACAAGCAGAACAGAAACAGCCTCATAGATAATGTTTTGACAATTGCCACATGGGGAGGGGAGTTGGAGAGTTGGGTGAAAAAGATGAAGAGATTAAGAAGTACAAATTGGTAGTAACAGTAGTCACAGGGATGTGAAGTACTGCATAGGGAATCTATGTATATAAAAGCCTAAGTGACCGAATGACCGGTCGTTTGGTCGCTATGACGCGCACTGACCATTAGGGGACAGGCATTCAACGCACAGGATTGGGCTCCCTCCTGTCTGGATCGGGCCTGCGGGGATCAGGCTGAAACCGGCTATCCGACATCCCCTGAGAGGTCCTGGATTGCGAGAAGGCACAGGCCACGCCAAAGGACCCCACTGGTGCACATATCCGTGCACTGGGCCTTTAGTATAGTCAGTAACATTCTAATAACTATGTATGGTGCCAGATGGGTGTGAGTTGCATCAGAATGATCACTTAATAAGTTATGTAATGTCTAATCACTGAGGTATACACCTGAAACTAATACAATATTGTATGTCAACTGTAGTTGAATAATAAAAAGTTATTTAAATCTTTTTTTAAAAAATGAAATAAAAATAATTTTCTTTTAAAAATGTAACAATAAAATTAACTTTAGATAAATAACTATTAGAGAAATTTAATTTTTTAGTGAAAGATCTGACCCCTCCCATACACTTGCAGGTAAGCCCTTGGCCAGTGTGAATTTAAAAGGGAGTTCTGTCAGACTATACTAGTGGCAGATATATCCAAATTTACCGACGGTTCCAGAGACTAGGAAATTTCTTCAGCTTATTATATGTGGCTAGTATAATCTTTTAATTTTCTTTAAAATATTTTAATTGATTTCAGAGAGGAAGGGAGAGGGAGAAAGAGATAGAAACATCAATGATGAGAGAGAATCATTGATTGGCTGCCTCCTGAACACCCCCTACTAGGGATTGAGCCCAAAACCTGGGCATGTGCCCTGACGGAATAGAACCGTTAACTTCTGGTTCATAGGGTGATGCTCAACCACTGAGCTTCACCAGCCAGATGAGACTTGTATAATCTTGATACCAAAACTAGAGATGGATAATGGTAGAAAACATATAGGCCAGTCTTATTTATGAACATAGATAACCTAACAAAATGTTAACAAATCCGCTAGTGTATTTAAACATTGTCATGTCTATGATACTGCAATATGATTGTGATATTACCTACCCAGAGTTAGTGTCAGATTCTACAAGTTTAAGGGCATAGTCTCCAACAAGACTGCCCTCATTTGAGATGCCAATCACAAGTTTGGATGTCCCCAGGCCACTCAACACTTTTACTGGTAACAGGCTGCAAATCCAAGAGGATTCCTAAAACTCCACTCAGGTTTGACAGTTGCTAAATAACACAACTTAAGAAAGTGGTATACTTATGATGATAGTTTATTCTAAAGGATACAGGTTGGGATTAGCCAAGTGAAAGAAATACATAGAGCGAGGTCTGGGAGGGTTTCAGAGGTGGAGTTTCCATGCCCTGTTCCCAGGAATCAGGGTTTATCATTGACTAGCACATCAACATGTTTACCAACCAGGGAGCTTATCCAAGCTATGGCGTACAGAGTTTCTATTGAAATTTCATTGTATAGGCCTGATTGAATTCGCCATATGATTGAACTCAGTCTTCAGTCCTGTCCTCTCCAGTGATGTTGGGCTGGCTCAAAGCCCCAGCCCTCTAATCACATGGTTGGTCTTTCTGGTGGCCAGGCCCCATTCCGAGTCACCCATTAGCATAAACAGGCATGAGGCTCCTGAAAAACAAAGATAACTCCTGTTACCCAATAAATTCCAGGGATTTAGAAGTTCCCTCCCAGGAACCAGGGACAGAGACCAGGCAAATTCTTTATTATTTAATAATGAAAACTTTGAATTTATTTCAGGAATCCAAGGATAGGGTGTCAGTTGTCATTGCTGCATAACCATTTAACCCATACTTAGTGATTTGAATCAACAAAAACTTAATTTACTTTATGGTTCAGCAATTCAGGAGCAGTATACTGGGTGGTTTGGGCTCAGGCCATCTCATGAAAATGCAGTTAAGTAGTCAGCAGGGGCTGCAGTCATCTGAAAGCTTGACTGGGGTAGATTCCACTTCCAGGATGGCAGGCTTGTGTGGGTATTGGCAGGAGGCCTCCATTCCCCATCCTCAGGCCTCAGCATAGACTTCTTGAATGTTCTGATACCATGACAACTGGATCTCCCCAGAGCAATTGATCCAAGAAAGAGAGCGAAGAGGAAGCTGCATTACCTTTTAAGACCTCGTCTCAGAAGTTCTTCTTTGTCACCTTCACTTTATTCTGTTTGTTAGAAGGGAGTCAGTCTAGCCCACACTCAAAAGTAATTAGGTTCCACTTCTTGAAGAGGGGAATACGAAAGAATTTGTATATTTAAAAACCACCAAGGTGGTTTATACTTTAAGAAATCTCTTAATATGGATTTTTTTGAAAATATGTTTATATTGATTTCAGAGAGAAGGAGAGAGAGAGAGAAACATGATGAGAAAGAATCATTGCAGCTGCCTCCTGCAGGCCCCTTACTGGGGATCAAGCCTGGAACCTGAGCATGTGCCCTGACCTCCTGGTCATAGGTTGATGCTCAACCACTGATCTGCACAAGCCGGGCTGTATTATTATTAATGTATGAAGGAGGGTCATATTTGTGGTCGAATCATTAGATGGAAATTCAGCCTCATTTGTGATGAAAACTTAGCAAACTAAGGATAGAAGTGGGACCTTTAATGTGATAAAGAGTATCATTAAATTTTTAGTTATCTTAGAATTGATATACATGATATAGAGGCTTTCTAAACATAACTTATGTATCTTTATATATAGTAAATTTTATTCTTGTGTCCTTCAGGAATATTTAAAAATTGTTCTTATCTCAGTGTTGTGTATTTGGAAGAGCAAAATTATATAATCCTAATGGGGCTTACCAAAATTAACTCTAGATACAGTTAATTTTCCTACTTCTGGGAATCTTCCCTACAGATTTATTTGCCCAAACAACAATAAAAGCATCCATTCAAGTTTATTTATTGTGGCATTGTTTATAATACCAATAGGAGAATGGGTAAATGCAGCCTAAGATGTTGTTAGGATGGAACATTATTTAACAGTGAAAATGAACATAAGGAACTGTATATGTCCATATGGAACTCACATACTTTATGCATCTATAGACAGTTTAACAATATAGAAAGCAATGCTGTATATTGTAAACAAGTGAATGTCAAGCCCATTCTATGTCACTGAACTTCTTCATAAAAACAACTCTAAACCAGCCTGTTTTAACCTCAAGAGATGCTCTGACACAGAGTAAAGAAAATAAAATCTAGATGTGTCATCTATAAGGGGGAAAACTCTTCCTGGATTTTCAAGGGCTTCATGTTAATAAGCCAGAATTTGTAATCTTCAGGGTTTTCCTTCTTAGACCTACAGGCTTGCAAGGTTTAGTTTTCTGTAGCTTGTTGTTTATGCTTGTCAGGTAAGAATTGTTACCAATCTGCCCTAGCCGGTTTGGCTCAGTGGATAGAGCATCAGCCTGCGGACTGAAGGGTCCCGGGTTTGATTCCCTTCAAGGGCATGTACCTCATACTTTTGTTGCAGGCTCGTGGCCCTGGTCACACATCAGTGTTTCTGTCTCTCCCTCTCCCTTCCACTCTCTCTAAAAATCAATGAAAAAAATATCCTCAGGTGAGTA